GTTCTACAGGAACTCGCCGGATTGGCGTATGCTCAGCCAAAGGACATACCGGAAGATGCTCTTACCGAACAAATTCGAGAAATTTGTCGCTCTCGCCTCGAGTCGTCACTTGCCAAGCTCGCTCGCTCAAGCAAAGACTTTGCCCTTTTCTGCGAAGCGGTAGCATCAATAGACGCCAGCGCAAAGAATATGGCCCCAGAGATTAAAAAATCAATGGACGACGCCCTGGCACGCATGAACAAGCTTCTGAAGCGGAAGTCAAAGACACAAAGCGAAAAGGAGACAGCCCAGGGTCTCGCGATGCTCCACGCAATATCCATTTTCCAACTTTATAATGACGACCCTGATGCGATGGAAGTATTGGACGACCTTTCCCAGTTCTACAACAGACTTAAAGAAAAGAAGGCGAATAAAGACGGCGAACAGAACGAAGGTAGTTCAGAACTGCTAGTTGAAATACTTCTGTCGATGGTTGCTCGTCCCTCCTCACTGATGAGACAAGTTTCTCAACAAGTCTTTGAGGCATTCACTGGCCAGATATCCGCCGAGGGCTTGGAGCTCCTCACCGGGCCACTAGCCTCAGGAGAAAGTACAAAGGGCCAAAAGGAGCTCTTCAATATAGATGACGACGCCATGGATGTAGACGAAAGTGAGGGTTCAGACGAAGACGAAGACGATCAAGTCGAAGACGTCGAGGATGCCTCAGATTTCGAAATCGACTCTGACATGGAATTCGTTGGCCTCAACGGCGACGAAGACGGCGATGCCGCCTCCTCATCGGATGATACCAGCCCCAAAAAGAACAAAGGCGAATGGAACAACCCTGAGGAACTTGACGAAGTGCTTGGCAAAATCCTCAACTCCCACCGCCTCGACAGAGACGCCGACGCCGCTTCCTCCTCCTCCGAAGACAACATGTCCGACTCGGAAATGTTCGCCCTAGACGAACAGCTCTCTGCGGCCATTGCCCCACGCATCAAGTCGTCCCAATCCGACGCGAAAAAGGCCAAAAAGGATGCCAAGCAATCCGTCATCAACTTTAAACACCGCATCCTCGACCTCCTCGACATATACGTCAAGAACGAAGCCCTCAACATTCTAACCTACTCGCTGCTCGTCCCGCTGCTGAACCTCATGCGCACTACGTCTGCAAAACCGCTCGCCAACAGAGCCTGCGAAATCATCCTCGCTTACCAAAAGGGCCTCCGGAAGGCGAGGGCCGGCAAGGAGAGTGGCGACGACGCCCTCGGAGCGGATATGCTGGGTCTGTTGGTGCAAATACACGACGAGGCAGGCAAGGACAATTCCCACGCGTACGCCAAAGCCGCCAGTGCTGCTAGCTTGATCGTGGCCTCGAGCATGTTTGCGGGCGATAGGGGGGCGATTCGCGAGGTGGCGGGCGTGTATGCCAAGACACAGAGTGATTGGGTCTTGGGAGACGTCACGATGCAGAACTCGTTTTTTGCTGATTGGAATAACTGGTGCCAGAATCATGCTTCGCAGAGTCGGACGTGATGTGGATTTGGTTGCTCAAGTCGTGTACATAGATTCGTAATTTGGGGCCCATGGAAACGAGCGAGTTGCAAGGGGGATAAAAACTGATTCTAAGGCAGCATCACACACTTGCCCGCTGCATAGTCGAGGTGAATGTCTAGGTAGATTTGTGATGGAAATTCAGGCTCACATTTTTGCTGGTGATGGACTCCCCCTCACTCTCTTAAAAAGGTTCATTGCTTATTCTTCATTGCCCAACCATATAAAGCATTATTCTATGAACCTGCCGTGTGATAGTACAAGTGCTTTCGCCGCGTGCGCAACTAAATCCCCTTCCCCTTGTTGCTTCGCGAACCCTCTCTATTCCTCCATCTTATCATCGTCCTTCTTATCGTTCTCGTCATCGTCGTCTGAGTCATCCTCCGCCTTTGCTAATCTCTCAGCCTCCTCCCGCAACTCCTTGGGCACCTCGACATGGCGACCCTTGGTCGGACCGTCCACACCACTGATCCAAGTCATTTCCAGTTCAAAATCCTTGTCCTTGTTGTCCTTTTGTGCAATGTAGATAATTCTCGCAGCCTCCTTGACGGCCTCCTCCATGGTCATATTGCCTGACTGCAGATCCAGCTTCTCCAGCTCAGCCTTAGCCGCCTGACGACCCTTGCCCGTAGCAGCGCCGTAGTAGCCCCAGTACAGACCACTGGGCTCAATCATGTACAGGAAGGGACCGCCGTGCTTACCAGGGACCTTGCCGCCAGCACCACACTTGGGGCCAGAGCCAACTTCTCCGTCGACGGGTGTCTCTTCGGATGTGTCCACGCCGCCGACAATGGCCGTGATGCCGAATGGCCGGACGGAGCCGTACATGGTGTATGCCTGGAGATAGCCGCCCATTCTGGAGGCAAGATCGGCCGTGGGGATCGGGGTCTTGAAGTTTTGGCGCCAGCTTTGGGACTCGTCGCGGGCACGGTCGACAAAGTGTCGGCCGTCGGGGACCATTCCTGAGTAGACCTGGGTGCACAGATTAGCTTCGGCTCCGAAGACACGTTTTGTGTAGAAATGAGTTTGCTTTGGTAAAGGAGTTGCAAGGTTACGTACAACACCAACGTGGCTGTCGACGGTAGCGATTCGCTTGTTTGCGCCGGGCTTTAGCAGCTTTGATGTCACCACCTTCTCAACAGCTAGGACGACGCCATCCTTGCACCGAATGCCGATTGAGGTGCCGCCATTCTCTACTGCTTTAACTGCATATTCCACCTGGAAGTTGCGGCCATCTGGCGAAAAGATGGAGTTGAGAAGATCGTAGCCCGTTCCTATCGATGTCTGGATGTTGAGGGTTGGTTAGCTTAGCTTGCTTCACGGGCAGGGCATGCAAACAGAGACTGCGAACTACTGACCATCTTGATAAGTTGGTCTCCGTAAAACCCGTCCGAGAGATGGTTTCGTCAGGTAGAGAGGCTTGTTGTGTGAATGGCTGGGGGGATTATGAGGAGTTGAGACGGCAGATATGGACCTGAAGCTCCTCCAACCGACAAGCATCGCCAGGCAGCCTGAGAGCTGCGTATTGCTGTGTGCTGGCGCGAGGCTGGCCTACAGTTTTTGCCTGAGGCGCCAAACTCTGGTTGAGGTGTCAGCCACAGGAAGTCAAGCTGAATGTGGCTGACGCGGACATGGCACACATGTCACGCATCCACATCGGATCCGGAGCTCGGGGGCCTGTGTCCGTTTATTAGATCCCTTTGAGTGTGCGCAGGTTCAATACTTAACCCACTTACTTAAAGGTACTTTTTAACTCCAGTAAATAATCAGTATATTCTTTTAGTATATGTATCTTAAAATATTAAGTACTTATCTTATTGTATAATTTCTTAGTAAGTCTATATCTTTTTTATCAGCATTTAACATCAGCTAGGACCTTGGTCCGCTACCCCAATTGGACCTGCGCACATTCAAAGGGCTATCAAAGAATGACCCTGCAGTACGGAGTACGAAAGCAAATGAAGGGAAAATTCACATGTACAGGTACTTGACGAAGTGACTACCGCCTAGTAGCCAGTCGGCAGCGATTTTTGGGACTTACATCATACTGAGGATCAAATGCGCACCGTTTCATTGTTGTGACGCTTAGAGCATGAAACGCATTTTAAATATGGCCATCATGAAGCATCACCATTCGTGACTGATCGCATCAATCCAGACACCTGAAATCTGGTACAGGGGGTGCCAAAATACACCAGACCCTGGCGTGGTACGCAGACAGTCCACCAGAGGGTCGCTTTGGAAGGAGCTCTAGACATGAGTTTATTCCGGCCTGGCCATGAATTAATTGATGCAAGCTCCATTCGTACTTAGCCAGAAGCCAGACCGGGGCAGGTGGAAATAGTGGCACTCGGATGCCGGCGGACCAAGCCATCCGTACTCGATACATCCGTGTGCAGCTAGCAATACACGAAATATACATGGACCGTTGGAAGTCGAGCGTTCCATCTCTGTTCCATTCCTCAACAATCATGGCCCAGTGGCGTGAAAGAAAATGGCCGCGTGACGAATTCGAGTCGATGACGGTTGGAGTGATTGTTGCGTCACGAATTGCCCCTCCACACCACTAGAACCGCCGCTAGGCGCCCGCCAACCACCTGCTATCGCATGACTATGCTCCCTGTAACGCTCCCTGGTCTGCCTGCAGGTCCCGCGCCTGCAGGCTTCTCAACAAAGTCCATCGGCCTTCCACGGAAAGGATGATGACGCTCTGTTTGTTTTAATATATAACTTTGTGTCTGCCATGAATCAGCGTTGACGTGTCCTCTTCACCATCCATCGCGAAGCACGTATCTCTGAACACCAATATTGTCTCGTCGTTCCGTTCCGCCCTTTCTCTGTTCCCTCGAAGCCCAAAGTCCATCCCCCCCCCCCCGCCTCTGGACCCTGGTCCGCGGTTCTGGTCCACTGTGCCGCCTAAAATCGAAAAAAGTCCACCGCTCTTGTGCTAAATCCTGCCTGAGACAGGAGGAGACAGGAAATAGGAGACGAGAACCAGGAGATTTAAGGCAGCACCTGCTCACTTTCCCCTCCAGCTCTTGTCAACTTTCTCAGTCTTCACGCTCCTGTTCGTTTTCACCTTTTACCTTTCATCACCTTAGCGTAGCCGAAATATACTTCTGATTTGCCTCGTCTCTTTTGCCACCTGGCCACCCCAGCAGATCCGAGTACCGTCAGCTTGGCCATTCTGTCTTGATACCCAACCGCATATCGACCCAACCAAGGCCTTGCTTGAGAAAATAAAAGACTCACTTGACAGGAAATAAAAGGATCCGTGGACCGGAAGGCTAGCGACGAATACTGACTTCAAAGTTACGATACAGAGATACTCCAAGAAGAAACTACCGTCTTTGCCGTCCGTCGCTGGCTGCATTACTAATTCGCTAACAGCCGAGGTATGTGGCCTCCATGTCCGCCTGCGTGTAAGCGGGAGGTGTGATTGCTTGATATTGATTCGCTTCCAGATCATGGTTTCTGTTCAACCCGGCATGCAGGCAAACGCCCAACAGGTTCAGGATGACCTTGCCAATCTCTTCTCTCGTAACTTGACATTCAACCCCGACTTTCACGTCTCTGCCCAAAAAGAGACACCAAGACAGGAGCCGACCCCAGCGGCTCCAGTCTCCCAACCCATTGTGTATTCGATTTCACAACACTACCACCACTCCGCACACACTGCGAAGCCTGCCGCTCAACTATCTGAGAATCAAGGACAATACCAACCCCAGAGGCCGTCATCGGAGCCGCCTCAGAGCGAGATATCCCCGATGGACATGATTCTGCGCAGCTACGGCGTAGACCCCGCCGTCTTGACACCATCCCAGGTTCAACTCTTCCGTGTTGCCGATGACCCGCAGAAACTTCGCCTGATCGAGCTTTGGAGCATTTGTCCTCCCAACAGGGCCGAAGATATTCCTTCACTTGCCTGGAGCAGCACGACCCTGGACCAAGAAGAGCATCTTGCACAAATGCGATATGAGAGGCAACACAACCCCACCATGAGCCTGGACGGGACCCTTGTCCAAACAGATAACGGCAAATGGACTCAACAGGTCTCGGCCGAAAGTGAGCCATACATGATTACCGGGTATGAAGAACTCATGCGACGAGAGTATGAACGTCAGTCCATTGACACCAATGCCAGAGATGTTTACAACCACTATGGCACTGCCGTGGGCAGCAACAGATATTCTAGGTCTACTGACCCTGTGTACAAAGGGCCCGACTATGACCAGCAACAACAGCAGCTGGAGATGGCCGTCCAGTACGGTGCTTTTGAACAATTTAGGAATGCGTCGATGCCGGTTGATGCCATGGATGTCATGTAACTATGCTTGTTGGGGGCGATCTAATCATACACAATACTGCTCTCAGCCGTTAGATATGCATAGACAGGTTGTATGGATTGTGTTTTGCGTTTGTGCCTGGGACAAATCAAAGTATGGACAGAAACAAACATGTACGCAGGTGGTTTGGTATCAGTGTCATGGGCTTGGGGGTTTGGTTGTCATTATATACCAGGAGGGTTAATGTTTCTCTGGACTGGGAGATACCTTGTTGTTTTTCCTGACTATTCATTTCCACTCTTTCATCTTCTCCCCATCCCTTGTTCCGGAAGTGTTGATGTGGCGGCTAACAAAACTTTTAGAGAACCTGGTTTCAACTACAGCCAGTATAGGTACGTGCCCATATCCTCCCCAAAACCCCGAAGCCCCGATATTCGAGCGCATCCTGCTCCTACCTTCCATTTTCATTTCACTCTTATTGAAGTTCTGAAACTCGTGTGATGTTAGCCTCTTATACTATAAACCAAATGTTGAATATATTTCTGTCATTGACCAATATTTCCTTCATTGCAAACTCTAGCTGATACCCAATTTTTGTGCGTGACTGTGTGATTTACACGAGGTGATGCAGTGTGTCCTTTGGCGGCATTTTTTTTTTGTTGCGCGTGAGCTGGTTGTGAATTGGCCTCGTAAACCTCGTGTCAATCCTCACAGAAATAGTATTAAAGGGGTATCGTATGTATTGCACGCTCTAACCCTATGTATAATCTGAAGTGTATGTAAATAAATCATCCAACGCCACGGGGCATAACAGCATTCCAATCTAAATTTCGGCCTTCTCAAGCTTCTTAGCGAGAGCCTCGACCTCCTTGTCCTTAAGCTGGACCACAGGCTCCTCCTGAGCCTCCTCGGCCTCCTTGATCAGTTTCTCGGCAAGCTCTTCAGCAGTGACGCCCTCTTCCTCCTCCTCCTCCTCCTCATCCCCACTAAGCTCTTCGAGATCGCTCAGGCTGTCAATACCCCATTCGTCCTCATTGATCACATCTCCGGCAAGCTTCTCCTTACGCTGGTCAAGAAGCTCCTGCAAAAAGAGGATGGACTCGTCATCCTCGTCAAACTTGTTTCCATTCAATTCTATGCGCTTCAGGGCCGGTAGCGCGTCCTTGGCTGCGGCAGCAAAGGCCTTGACACCAGTCGCGGTGATATCATTGTACTGCAATCGCAAAATTTCGACTTTCTGGTTTTTGCCCTTAGCCAAAGCCTTCGCAAACAGGACACCGCCCTTGGCGCTCAAAAGTGAATCGCCAATACCCAGTTCGCGAACGACAGTCCAATTTGTGACGACGTTGGCGAGGGCTCTGGCACCCGTGAAAGTGAAAGTGTTGTCCTGGAGATCCAAGATCTGCAGCTCGGTGGCGTGAACCAAACCCTCGCTGATGAGATGAGAGATTCCCTCCTGCCTAATACCGTTCTGAACCATCTTGATGTGCTGGATCTTATTGTGGAGTTTATACGCCTTGGCCCAGGCGGTCATGCTACCGTTCTCTAGTCGGTTGCGGCCGCAGATGACTGTCTCCAAGTCGGGAACCTGCTTGCCCTCCTTGCGAGCGGCTTCCTTCTTGGCATGAAGCTCTGACAGAGCATCGGCGACAAGGATACCGGCGTGGGGGCCGAGGCCGTTGTTGTTAAGGTACAGGTGCTGCAGCGGCACGTGGGCGGAGAGGAAAGCGACGAGGGGGGCTTGTGTGTTGAGGCCAAATGCGTTATCGTTCAAATTGACGGTGTGGAGGTTCGGGTGGTTGAGGATGGAAGTTAGCAGCGAAGAGAGTGCCTCGGGGATTTCGCTCAGCAGTCTGCCTGTGAAAATGTCGGCGAGGTTGGCAATCTTGATGAGGGTAGCGTTAGTTTTAGAAACTTATCCATTTACCGTGAATTTCAGATAGCTTGATGGGCTGTAAAAAATCATACCTTCAAGTTCTTCTTGGTAGCCAGAACTTCTCCGATAACTTTGCAAGCTTCCACACCCAGGGTGTTGCCAAGCAACCTGACCTCCTCAACATCGTTGGCTCGAAGATCTTGGATATGAGGCTCGACATCCGCGGCGGTATCGAGCTTGAGGCCCTTGCCTTCAATGGTAAACAGCTTGTGGAGAACAGTCATCTTGTATGAGTATGCTCAAAACAATATAAAGCAGGACAAAATTGCAAAGCGGGTAAAAGAAAGAACGCGGTTTGCGTGACAGTATGGGTGATGATGGTTGCTTTTGTCACACTCAGCCAAATTAATTATATAGTGGGGGCGGGGCAAGGGTAAGGATGGGTGATTCAAGTGCAGGGGGATGCAAGAGCGTGGGCGCCAGGGGCATGAGTGCGGAAATTCCTGCCAGCTGGCGCCAGCTGCCAAGGTACCTACCCATCAAAAGTGGAGAATCTGGCTGCTTCTTCCTTAGGTAAGCAAGTTGTGGCCTGACGACCTGGGCCATCACCAAGCTTAGAGAATCACGTGACTTTAGCCAATCAGCGTCGGCCCATTTCGGAACGCTGGATTTTCTCAATAGGTATGACCTCTCCTGCTGAGCCTTTTCGAACCTCCGACCCTCGAAATCGATACGACCATCGCCGTCACATCCTCACAACGGCTCCCTCCACGGATACGGTATAGCTTGTCAATTATGCTGGCAAGGTCTTGCTTGCGCTCGACGCGCACCCTCAATGGGCTCCGAAATGGCGTCAACAATGTGTCCAAGGTATAACGGTCCTGCTCAAGCTCGGACTCGCCTGCCTCCCCGTTTTCGTGTTTTGCCGAGGGAATCACCACCACCCGCCCCAACGGGCCGGAACCACATCAATCGAATGATAAATGCATCTTGGATCAAGAATACCATTGCTGATTGTATTTTTGTCTTATAGCGCGCCGCCTCGACCAGCTCGGGTGCTGCCGGATCCCCTGCCCGATTGAACTTCGCCGCTATCGCCTCAACCACCGTCGCTGCCGGCTCCATTGCCTGGTACTACCACCTCTACGGACCTGTGGCCTTTGCCGCCAGCCCTGCTGAGGAAGGGTACGTCCCCCCAAGAATATATGACCGGGAACTCTTGTTGCCACGTCGTTGGCGTCCTCTGCCACGTGCGGCATAAATTGCCGTGCTCGGCTATATGGGGCTCTCTATTTCCATGACCAATTCACTAATTCATTTCAACAGTCTGCACGCTACACAATATCCATGGGTCCATCAGCAGTGGCTCAAGACTTTCGACCACCAGGCGTAAGTGCTACTTGTTCGGCCGCTCTAGGAATCTGGACCGGAGCATATGCTATTGATACTATGTCATCCTGATACTGACCTAGAATATTAGTCTTCGCCGAGGTTTCCAGGTCTACAGGGAAGTCTGCGCCAGCTGTCACTCACTTAGCCGTATCCCCTACAGAACATTGGTTGGCGCTGTCTTGACTGTCGACGAGGCCAAGGCTCTTGCTGAGGAGAATGAGTACCCTGGTGAGCCAGACGAGCAGGGCGAGATCCAAATGCGACCTGGAAAGCTGGCCGACTACATTCCCGACCCCTACAAGAATGAGGAGGCTGCCCGATTTGCCAACAACGGTGCCCTTCCGCCGGATCTGAGCTTGATCGTCAAGGGTCGCCACGGTGGCTGCGACTACATTTTCAGCTTGCTGACTGGCTACCCTGAAGAGCCTCCAGCCGGTGCCCAGGTCGCTCCTGGCATGAACTTCAACCCTTATTTCCCCGGAACTGGTATTGGTATGGCTCGTGTTCTTTATGACGGCCTTGTTGAGTACGAAGACGGCACCCCCGCCTCCACCTCTCAGATGGCCAAGGACGTTGTCGAGTTCCTCAACTGGGCTGCCGAACCTGAAATGGACGACCGCAAGAAGATGGGCTTGAAGGTGTTGATTGTTACGTCGGCTTTGTGGGCCGTCAGCGTCTGGGTTAAGCGATACAAGTGGGCATGGCTGAAGTCGAGAAAGCTTGCCTATGACCCTCCTGCGGACTCTAAGGTTCGCCGCTAGGTGATGAGGCAAAGTTGTGTGTCATGTGTATACTAGTCTCCCCCCCTTAGAGATGCTCCTTTGTTGGCGGAGACGGGTAGAACGGGGAGACGGTGGTTTAAAAATCAGGGAAGGTGGATGGTAGAGTGTAAATCAGATGAACCAAATTTCAATACCTTTACTTTTGTCGTAGTAATGCACAATTTGCTCCCCCACCTTACATGTGATTTATTCGAGGTGTGCCAATGATCAATATGGCAGTGCATGTGGTCACAATACTTCGTGGAAAGAAGCTATTCATAGTCCATATCAGCGCAGGACATGTTTCCAAGCTGTTGTCGTATTGTAAGCGGCCAGGCTCTTATTTCTGTTTAAATCTTTTTGACTTGGAAATGAATACGGTGCGGTCGCCTGCAACATTCATGTATGGCTGACCTAACATTGAAGTTGACATGGAGACCCAGTGCCCCTAGCAGCCTGGTTCCGTGGACCACTTACAGAAGGGCACCAGACTGGACTGGCTAGGCCGCTCCCTACATGTAGGCGGTTCTCTCCTCACTGTAATAGAAGACGGCTGGGGCCTGGCAGCACATGCACGATGCCTGTTTGGCCGGCCAGCTCTGGACGGGACCGGTCGACGCTTAGACCCGGCTGTGAGCAACACTGTGTGCATGTGGTGAGCTGGTTGGACAGCAAATGAACGGGCTTGCCGACTTGTACCTGTACTACCTGTACCTACTCCGTACTTCTAAGATAACTACATCCCTGCAGGACCTTGATTCTCCATGGGCACCTCTGTGGTCGTCAACTGTCACAAGAAGAAACACCTCCAGTCCCCCACCGCCCAACCGCCCACCTGCCTCCAACATCCAACATCCAACATTGACTGAATACCTCACTGCTACAGATGTCCACTCCGTACCAACCTATGAAGCCTGTTTCACACTCCCGTCCAGCATCTCGTTAGCTCACGCCACCATACGCATCACTGTGCCTCCAACCCGGCGTGAAGATGCCGTATGTCGGCGACGGCG